GAGTTTTGCAGAGAAAGAAAGAAGATTGACATTTGTGGAGGAACAGATAGGGTAGGACAGGAAGGGGAAGAGAGGACAAAAGACAGGAACAATGGCAACTCACAGGAATGGCAGCCTAGGTGAGACAGCCAGGGTTGGACCCAATAGGGATTATACTAGAACAACTGAACGAAGAATATATGTTCTTGCTGAACCTTCAGCACACCCCTCCCCCAACTATCACACAGGTACAGGCATGTTTGTGAGGCAGCAGAGGCTCTAGTCAGAGCCAACCAGGAAGTGCAGATCAGTGTGAGTGGTTTCGTGATGCAGCTAGGTCTCACGCTAATGACACCTTTGAAGGATTGGGGGGGGGGCAGATTAAGGCAGATGCTAATGGTGCACTGCTGTTGTGTTTCTGTCACTGCCTGGAAACCATTCTTTTGAAAGCTCTGCAGGAATAATACTTAAAAAAAATAATGAGAGGTAATATTTCTTGGTGCTTTACTCTGTTCCAGGAGCGGTTCTAAGCTTCTTATATGTGTTATATTTCACCCAGTGAATTTCTGTAGTGCCAATTTTGTGCCTATTGTAATATGAGGGAATCAAGAGCACAGAGAGACCACCCATCTTGTAAGGAATATGTGGCAGATTATCACTAGGCAGCCCCCAGGAATCGGGCCTCCCAGAATTCATGTCTAAGCAGAGTCATTCTCATTTTGGCTGAGCTTGACCATATGCCTTAACTTTGGCCAACAGGACAAGTGTGATGGAAACAAAAGCCTGTACAATAGAGTTCTTTTGGGATTTTTTTTTTTTTTCCCAGAATCTAACCACCACTGTGGAATGCCCAGCTTCCTCAGGGTTCTCCTTGAGAGGATTCAAAATAGAAGACTACTGTCGCCAACTCTCTATAATAATAAAAGTGTTGTTTTATTTTAAATCACTAGATTTCCAGGCAATGTGTTGCATAACATATATAATGAAAACACAATAAAATCAAAATTTTAATTGGGCAGACAATATGTAGAAATAAAAGCAGAAAAAAAAAACATATAATCCATGTCAGCAGAACTCCATTTAAAATGTCCCTTGACATTGGGCCTTCCCTGGTGGCGCAGCGGGTTAAAGCACAGCACTGAGAAGCTAAAGCCACTTCCGCATGAGTTCAATTCCTGCCTGCCCAGGAGGTGACCACATGGCGTGGCAGACCTCTCCTGACCCGCCCGCTGCTCCCCTCAGCAGTGTACTTCATCGATCTGCCTGTTTTTTTCTGCTCCCCACTCTGTCTATGGTGATACCTCTTGCCACCCCTGAGCCTCTGGTCTGTACCCCAGTTCCGTATGCACAAATAAATCTTTAAAAAATAATAAAAAAAATAAATTAAAATGTTCCTTGACATGAATCTTCCTTATTGTCTAACCCAGGTTGTGTGCTGGCTACTGGGATCCCATCTTACTCCAAGTTTCTTTTTATTTTACTTTCCTTTTCTCACGTGAATATACACAAAATCCTTTTTTGGCGACCTTGTCTTTGCCCTCAGGGATAAAGAATACCAATTATGACTATCATCAACATTCCTTTCACATTTAATTAGCATCAAATTGTTAAGAAAATAATTATGTAAGATGCTACAGAACTGGGGTACAGACCAGAGTTGCAGGGGTGGTGAGAGGATTTACCAGAGACAGAGTGGGGAGCAGAACAGGCTGACTGATGAAGTACACTGCTGAGGGGAGCAGCAGGCGTCAGGAGAAGTCTGCTGTGCCATGTGGGCAGGGATCAAACTCATGTTGAAGTGGCTTTAGCTTCTTAGTGCTGTACTTTAACTGACTGTGCCACCAGGGAGGGCCCTAAAAGATCTTCATTAGAAGACCTGATAGCAGTGCATGTTTACTAGCTACATACTCTAAGTCAGACATGTCCCAGATTAGTGAGGAAGGGAAGAAATACTTTGATTTCTCCCCTTCTCCTGCTCTCCAGTCCCTGAAAATGCCTCCTGTTGGTTAAATATATCCAGAAGGTGGTGAGTAAAAAAACCTGGGAAGTAAAGTAGGTTCAGTTCAATCTCCTTCAATATAAAACATAGAAGGGGAAGAAACCAGAATGGATCCAAGAGCATAAGCTATCTGTGAAGTGCATATCTAGGTTAAGAACCCCCAACATGACTGTGTTTCAAAGTCATGAATACACTGAAGGTGTTCATGTGTTCTGTTATGTTTGTGTATATGTTCTCTGAGATTGTATGGAAGTGTGCCACATCCATGGGACAAGAGATTTTAGGAAAAGCCTTCCCCAAATATACTGCTGAATATTCCAAAGAATGGAACTAACTGGTGGTCAACTCAAACACAGACTGTCAAAAGTCGACTTGTATATTTTTACTCCATAAAATGTAGATCAAGGCCCAGAGCAGCGGTGTCACCTAGAAACCTGCCGGAAGTAGAGAATTTCAGACCATAGACACGGGCCACTAAATCACAAGCTTCGCTTTAACAAAAGCCCTAAGCGATTCATTAAATCAAAGTTTGATACTTTATGTGAAAGCATGTATGTGTGGAGAACAGGGAGGTGAAACAGCGACAGTTATCACACTAACATTTACAACATGTGAGACCACATTCAGAATTAACTATGTAAGACCTAACTGAGAAATTGGAAAGAGGTATGCTTAAGAAAATCTATTTGTCATTCCAAGAAATGATGAATCACGTTGCATTCTAATTTCAGTCTACAAAATTAAAATACAAATTCACTACCTTCTGTTATTTTAGTACATAAAAACTACTTTCATCAAGGCCTATACAATCTTCACATAATGAATCTTTTCTATTAATTTTCCTGTTTCTTGGGTGGTCTTTGTTGTAAATGAATGAATATGTACTAGCATTGGAAAAAAAAATATTTCCTCTCTCCCTTCACCAGAATCATCAATGATTCTAGCAGAAAGATATACATCACTGATATCAATAAAACCATACTCAGCTTTAAAGAGATAACTGTGTTGGTCTAGAATCTGCAATAACACTACAACAAAAAGCAATCTCCATGACAGTCATTTCCATTGTGTTTGAGCTGCAGATTTTTCATTGTTTTATAAACATCTAAATAAGTTCAATAAGCACTGCTCTGTTCAAAACTGTTGATGTTGCCCACATCATAAAGAGGCAAAATATGTCAACTTCCTCAGAAATGTATTTTTAGACTGCTTTAAGGTGCAGCCGTCAGTCACAGGTTGCCTATAGATCACAGCTATCAGTACAAACAGAATATTCTCGACATATCCTTCCAATGACTTTGATTTCTGGCCCACTTCCTGGTGCATCTCTTTTCCTCCACACTTGACTAACCATGCTAAAGATGGACTATACTTTCCCCAGTGATAACTGAAAATGTTCACAAATTATAACTGCACCATTCAGTTCAAATACTCTTACTTCTATAGCAAAACAGATTTATTTTCTCTAGCAACAGACAACAAAACTTTCTCCTCAATGTCCTGTAATTAGTTCTAATATCAGTAAGCAAATTAAAAGGCAGCAAAACACAATTTGTCCATCAGGTTCTTATCAGTTCCTTCATAACCCATAGGCTAGCTTTGCCCTGAACTGTAAAGTGGATAAATGAGGAGAATACTGATTTTGGCATCCAGCTTACTCTTGGATAATCTAGCTCATCCTTCTCAGCTGACATGAGACAGAAATAACATCAAAGGGTGATAAACTCTTTCCCACAAACCTGGGGTTCCACAGTTCGCTGGCCCTAGGCCTAATCTATCATACCATTTTCTACACAATGAAAGGTAAGAAACCATTACAGATCTGTTATGAGCCCTGGCAGGTGGTCTATGACAGAAAAAAAAAAAAAAACAAAACAAAAGCGGAATACATCAATGAACCCAGCCTTCGGTGTCCTTTCCCATGTTTTGAAGCACAAGGGGTCAGCTGACACGCATATAGTAGTTAGGATTCAGTGTTAAGTTCTTTTAGCCACACAAATAAACTCATACACCTTAAAGCCCGAGTATAAAGATTTGACAGAAAAAGCACATTTTTGGTATGGTTCTCACCTTTTATAAAATAGCACAGTTATTTTATTTTTGCATTACACACTGGCTTTGCAAGTGATGCAATAAATGAAACTGGGTTAGAAATTACAATGTGTTCTTTGTTACAGCTTTAATCTTCATTGGTTATTCAACCTCAGTTTAAGAAGTTCATCTATGAAAAATCTCCATTTAATGCCATTTTAAGATTATCAAAGTATCCATAGAAAGGAACCCCCTTTTAGACTCATGGTTGACATATACTCTAGTCATTCCAAAATAAGAGTACTGAAGAAACCAGAGAATCACATTTTATGTTACCAAAATGCCTTTAAAAAAATTATGCTTTCTCCTTTATAAAATGAATTGCCATAGGGCAAAATATCTGTGCTAATAAAGGACTTACTTCAAAAATGCTACACAGAAGGTCAGATTTATGAACATTCTCTCCTCCTTTCTCTTATCATCATTATACTTTTCTTTGTTTTAAATTCATTGTAAACCAGGGACAAAGTTTGCCAAGAATAGTCATTTCTGTTTTTAATTTGAATTAGCTTACCACTTAAATTTAATCCAGTCTACAGCATATTTAAATGCCAAATTTTCATATGCAGCACACACTGACAGTATGAATACCGTGGGAAAGTAAAGTCATTAAATGTAAGAGTGGTGCTGTGTAGTGCTTTACAATTCATACTGCATGTTTGTTTGTCTACATTTAAAATAATAGCACTCTATGGAAATGAACCAATTATCTAATATAAGGTTAACGTATTCTAGTAGGGTATTAACTGGTTCCAGTGAAACATTTTACAAATGATTTGTCCCCATTCTAAGAAAATGGGGGAACCAAGCATCAAGAAGAGAGATAGGGACACTGAAAATCAACATCACAGAATGAGATAATGCTTCACACCTGTTGAATGGTTATTACCATTAGAATTCAGACATTAAAAAAAATGAAATCTGCCTTCCGTGCTGCTAGAGCTCTTGCAAGCATGGTGAACGTTCCTAAAACCCGCCGGACCTTCTGTAAGAAGTGTGGCAAGCATCAGCCCCACAAAGTGACACAGTACAAGAAGGGCAAGGATTCCCTTTATGCCCAGGGAAAGCGGCGGTATGACAGGAAGCAGAGTGGCTATGGTGGACAGACAAAGCCAATTTTCCGGAAAAAGGCTAAAACTACAAAGAAGATTGTGCTGCGACTTGAATGCGTTGAGCCCAACTGCAGACCCAAGAGGATGTTGGCTATTAAGAGATGCAAGCATTTTGAGCTGGAGGAGATAAGAAGAGAAAGGGCCAGGTGATCCAGTTCTAAGCATCATCTTTTACTATGAAGATAATAAAACACTGAATTAATGTTTACTTAAAAAAAATGAAATCTTTACATTGGCAAAAATATGGATAAATGCACCTGGAAGGCATCATCTAAGTCAGAAAAATACCTTAGGATCTCACTCATATGTAGAATCTACACAAACGAACCAAGTTTGTAGATGCAGAGAAAATATTGGTGGTTGCCAAAGTCACAGGGTTGAAAGTAGCTAGGAGAGTCAATTTGAAAAGTTCTCACAAGACATTTTTTTTTTCTAAGTGTATATGATGGTACATGTTAACAAGAATTGTGGTAATCATTTTTAACATAAGCGGATATTGAATTATTATTGTTTGCAGCTGAAATTAATACAATGTGAATGAATAATAACACACTGTTATTAGGTGGCATGCTAATGATAGCACCAAGATACGATAAAATAAAAAGTAACTGTAACCCCAAAGCTACATAGATATGTAAAAGACTGACAAATTAAGAAAAAAACAAAACTTCAAAGGCATAAGTAGATAAAGTTTCATATAAAGAAAAAAAAAAAAAGGTGGCACAGTGGGGAGCCTCCGGGGTGCTCTGTCTGGATTTCTGAGAGCAACTCAGCTGAATAGACCACGAAGACGCTGGGGTTTAAAGTTGTCGTCTGCAATTACTGAATCCATGAAAATGTGGGTACTGGAAAACAATGGACTACTTGGGTGTTCTAGGCAAGGTGAGGAGAATGAGCCAGTATTTTCCAACACATTTTGTCCTAAGTACTAGTTGGTCATAGAGAGTGAGAACAAGATCAGTGGGAATGGAGAAGGCTGGCTGAAAGCCCGCGGTGCCTTCCAGGAGGGCTCCTTGGTGGTCTTGGCCCTCTAACTCGCCTTTCTTTCAGCTCTTAGTTTCATAATGGTGGCGCCTATTTCAGCTTTCTGCCAAGCAGTCACATTTATAACTGTTGAAAGAAATCCTGCCATACTCGAAATGAGACATTAAGCTACGTGAAAATGGCCAGTCATAGAATAAATACTGCATGATTCCACTTAGGTATCTGGAATAGGAAGACTGAGAAATAGAGAGTAAGAATGGTAGTTACTAGCGCTGGACAGAGGGAACACAAGAATTATTGTTTGATGGTTATAGAGTTTCTGTTAGGGAAAATGATCTACTATATAACACAGCTAAGTAATTCTACTATATAACACAGCTAAGTAATTCTTTAAGGCACACTTACAAATTTGTTAAGAGTGTAGACCTCATGTCATCTGTTCTTGTATTTAAAATCTTATTTAAAAAATATTTATTTATTTATGCATAGAGAACTGGGGTACATGTCAGAGGTGAATGGGGCGGTGAGAGGATTCACCAGAGACAGAGTGGGGAGCAGGACATGCAGACTGACAAAGGACCCTGCTGAGGGGAGGAGAGGTCTGCTGCACCATGTGGATCCCCTTTTGCACAGGGAATGAACTTGCCCTGAAGCGGCTGTGGCTAGCTTTGCAGTGCTGTGCTTTAACTTGTTGTACCACCAGGGAGGGCCCACATGTCATTTGTTTTTGCCACAATACAATTGAAAAAAAAAATTGTCATTAAGAATTGTGTGGCTGGTCTTTGTGTTTTTCTGTTTTAACATCAACCATGTTTTTTTTGTTGTTGTTGTTGTTGTTGTTTTGTTTTGTTAAGGCTTGCTCTCTCAACAAGTAGAATGGGCCACATTGCCTGTTACTCACTTCTCAGACACTACCACCCTGAATTGTCACCACAATCTGGGAAGCACTTTTCACTGTTAACTGAATTTTATGCATGTTACAACTGAGTTACAGGACAGTTTCAAGACCACCAGCTAGTAACCACTGGAGTCCATAACCCGTAAGCCTCACATTAAGTACCACAGACGACTGCCTTCATGAATTCCTGTTGGCTTCTTACTTGTTGGGAAAGTATCTTATCCATACTCATGGCACTGGCTAAAATCAACAGTTTGGAAACTTAAAAACCTCACATTCTTATGTATGCGTTGTCACCAGTTTGGTAGTGATGATGATCAGAGGCCCTGGACAGGCGAAACTTCTGAGTGTCACCAGCTGTGAAGAGAGTGGACACAGACAAGCATGGTACTGCTGCTGAGAACATAGGTAATTACTAATGATAATGATAGTTATTGAGTACAGGGTCAGGCCCACCTCTGAGAGTCTCATGTTTGTTCTCATAACTGGGATGGCCCTGCATCCATTTTTATCTTCTAAAGTGAGACACTTATGAGAGTGAAAAAGGGAATGATTAAAAATTATGATGAGATGACAGACAAAGACAGAACAACAGAGCAAAGTGAGATGTATTCACGACATATAACCTAGTAAGACTTTCTCAGTGTGAAATTATAGCAGGCAAAGTCAAGGGTGCTTTTGTTATTAATCTTTCATTACTACTCCCTCCTTCAACTCTCAGCTTCAAATTATTTAGCAACTATAAATTAGAGACATGAATAATTATAATGCTATGGCATATGCAATTCTGCATGCCCTTTCAACAAGGCAAGGGTGGGAAATGACTATCAGGTGCCAGGAATAGCATATGGCACATAGTGGTCACTCATTAGGTGTTTGTTGAATGACTTATTTAATGAAGGAACAAATACGATGGTGTTATCATTAACTACATGAGAAAAACTTCCAAGATGGGGTGACTTTCCCTCAAAAAAATCAGGCTACATGCCATAAGAGTAAATACATAAATAGCATATTCTTGCCATGACATTTTAGCTCATATATTCCTAAAGTTAAGAAATGTGGGTATGTTGTAAAGAGGCTTTATAGCAGAGCATCAAGAGACCCTCAAACCTCCAATAGATCTCTCTGGTGGATGTTGCTACTTCTAGTTAGATAGCTGACTTCCTGCAATCATGTCTATCAATCCTAGTACATATTTTGCAGTTTCCCGCCCGCTCCCCCCCAGTAAATTCAGTATGGTGACAGACCCTAGTAAAGACTTTTTGCTTTAGTTAAAAAAATAATTCACGGCCCTCCCTGGTGGTGGCACAATGGGTTGGAACACAGTACTACAGGCTGGCCACAGGTACTTCAGGACAAGTTTGATCCCGGGCCTGTAGGTGATGCACATGGTGCGGCAGACCTCTCCTGACCCGCCTGCTGTTCCCCTCAGCAATGTACTTCCTCGATCTGCCTGTTTTGCTCCCCACTATGTCTCTGGTGAGGCCGCTCACCACCCCAGCACCTCTGGCTTGTACCCCAGTTCTGTATGCATAAATAAATAAATCTTTAAAACAATTCACATTAAGGGGGTGGCTGAATGATTAATACTAGCACAATCTAGTAAACATAACTTTGGGATAAGAAATTAATCAATTCAGATAAATGTCCATTTTTGACTAATGGGTGAAAAATCTAAGCTCTTGCTTGATTTAATTTTTGCTTTTCGATTCTCCCCATTTATAGTAATGACTAATAGTTATTGACACAACATGGCAAATATAACTTAAAACACTAAACATTAAACAATGTTACAATTAAAAAGAGCAAAACAACTACTACCCAATGGATACTCAGAAGATGATAAGAACTTAATGCAAAATAAACTACACTTCTGGAAATCTAGACCTACTCATTTATATATTGTGAGAGACAGTACATAATTTTTATCCTTAAATTTAAAACAACAGAGATAGGGTGGCAAAGAGATTAAGTAGTGACAAATAATTTTTAATGAGGCTGATTAATAGGATTCCAAGTTTTGTGAAAACTGGTGGGAAAGGCATAGCATTGAAATTACAACTTCAGGGAAGGGACCCATGGTATGGATGTTACAGTCACATAAAGCTAAACAAGATGGTGTTCATAGTCTTCATTTTAATTTTCAAACATCAAAATACTGACCTCCAGTTCTGTTGCCAAAAAGATAGTGCATATATTGTGTGTTTTGGACAGTTTTTTACACTTCTTATAAATGTAACTTTTGCATTACTTTTTGTGAGATTAAGAACCTACTGATATATTGTGCAAGCTTAAGGGTGGCTCTCTGTGTTCTCTACTTAGGACGGATGATCTTTGTGTTATTATACAGCTATAAAATTTATCTACTACTGGCCCTCCCTGGTGGCGCAGTGGTTTAAAGCACAGCACTGAGAAGCTAAAGCCACTTCCGCATGAGTTCGATTCCCGCCTGCCCCAGAGGTGGCCACATGGCGCGGCAGACCTCTCCTGACCCGCCTGCTGCTCCCCTCAGCAGTGTACTTTGTCGATCTGCCTGTTCTGCTTCCCACTCTGTCTCTGGTGAATCCTCTCGCCGCCCCTGAGCCTCTGGCCTAGACCCCAGTTCTGTATGAACAAATAAATAAATCTTTAAAAAAAAATTTATCTACTACTAATACACATCCCCTTCATAGGCTAGTGTCTATCTCTATATAACTCTTTTGAAATAATTAGAGAAGAAATTTTGGAAATTCAATAAGACGAAGATAACCTTTAAATGTTCTGTTTCTTCATATAAGTGAAAACATGTATCAATATAAAAATAAAAGGAGACCTGAAGTATAGAGACCTAAACACACATTTCAATTTTAATGTCATAAAATTGGTACTTATTTCAGTTCATAAATATTTTATCAGTCATGTAAATGATCTGTTACAAGAACTTCAGCATTGTCAATTTAAAAATATAATAATCTGACACAATCCAAAATGATGTCTCTATTATTTTCTTTTCAAATCATCTGTGTACAGAAACTTTTCTCAGTATAACTTCATCATACCTCTCAATTTAGTTGGGTGCTGATGAATAACAGTAATTCTTTTTAGGCAATTGTGCCATTTTTGAAAGATGCCATGCTATCTTACATGAAAATTATAGTTCTATAATAACTTCTTGGCATGGATTTCCACCTGCTTTAAAGAGATTACACTTTGCTTTATTTGTTGGATAAAACAAAGGTAACAGGCATTAAATAAGCTCAGTGTAGTAGAGGAATTCTGATAAGAAGTAGATGAGAGGTTTCTATACATCCTTGGGAGGTTACAGCGTATGTGGGAAACAT